GAATTTATTCCAGGGTATTGATCGCTGAGGAGTGTTTTAATGTTTTGTATTTCTGTGACCTTATTTATTAGTTTTATAAAATCATGTGCATTCTGGGTTTTTGATGTTATAATAAATGCGTACCTAGTGAAGTGATCTACTAGAAGGTGTAGGTATTTCTTGGTTGATCTTGAACTACCAAAACCGCCAATTGTGTCTATTGATATTATTTCAAGAGGTCTTGTGGCTGGCCCTAGATATGACATTAATCCGTATTTGTCTTGTCCTCTTGTTTTGTTCTTTATGCAAATTTCACAGCTCTTACAAACATCTTTTATATTTTTTGTTAAATTCTTTGATACATATATTGAACTAACAGTCTTTAGCATTTGTCCAACTCCAATGTGACATAAATCCTCGTGTATTCGTTTTATAAGCTTAATACTGAATTTTTCTGTTAATATTATTTTATCTTTGTTTCTTATTTTTTTGTAGTATACATTATGTTTTTCAATTATTTTGTTTTTGTTTTTTTGTATTTCTTCATTTTTATTCTGATCTACCATAATATCCTCCAACGTAATTAAATTCACTACTTTTAATTGATCTTCTATATTTTCTTCTGGTTCCAACACGGGGTTTCGGCTTAAACAATCTGCTTCTAAATTTTTTCTTCCTGGGGAATATTTGATTTTGAAGTCATACTGTGAAAGGTAATAAGTGAGGTCACCCAGCTCTTCATCTGTTCTTGCTCTCAAATTCATGTTCTCCAAAGGTTTGTGATCTGAGTAAACTGTAAATGATTTTCCTATTAACCAGTACTGCCAATGTCTCAGTGCTTCCCTGATGGCCAAACATTCTAAATATATAGCTTTTTTCTTTTTTTGTGCTTCATTAAGCTTTTTTGAAAAATAGGCTACTGGTTTTTCTTTACCATCTGTTTGTACCTGTTTCAAAATTGCACCAACGCCCTCCAATGACGCATCGGTATAGATGTTAATTGGTAGATTTTGATCATATATTTCTAGTATCGGCTGTGAACATAAGAGACTCTTTACTTTGTCAAAGGCTTGCTGACATTCTTCAGACCAAACAAATTTCTGATTTTTCCGAAGTAAGTTATGTAGAGAATCTAGTATAATTGCACTTCTTGGTATGTATTCGTGATAAAAATTTATTTTTCCTAAAAATTGTCTAACGTTCCTTTGGGTTTTAGGTATTGGGAAATTTTTTATTGAAATTAGGTTGTCCTTTATTGGTTGTATCGAATTGTTTTGAATAATATGTCCTAAGTATTTGATAGAATTTGATGCAAATGTACATTTTTTAAATTTTAAGCGAAATCCTTCTGTTTGAATTGCTTCTAGCAACTGTTTCAAGTGTTTTATGTGTTCTTCGAAAGATTTTGAAAATACCAAGATGTCATCAATATAATTAACAGTAAATTCAGTAAGTTTATATTTTCTAAGTATATTACTCAATATTCTTTAGAATATTGCTGGTGCTGTCTTCAGACCGAACGGTAGACAAGTCCATTGGAAGTGTCCTTCTTGTGTTACAAATCCTGTCTTCTTTCTGTCTTCTACTCTAAGTGGTATAGACCAAAAAGCGGAGTTTATGTCTAGACTTGTGAAATTGTTGCAATTCCTTGTCTTTATCATTAGGTCATCAATTAACGGGAATGGTTGAGCCTGTGGTACTACAATTTTATTTAAATCTCTAAAGTCTATACATAGTCTTGACTTTTTATTTTCTTCTTTCTTAAATGCTAAAGTTATTGGTGCTGCACATGGACTATAGGACTCCTCTATTAGCTTATTATCTAATAATTTTGATATTTGTTCTGCTATTTCTTTTTTGTCTTTTATAGTGCATCTATAAGGCCTCTTGCTGCAGTATTTATCTAATAACAAATCTATTCTTGCTTCATATCCTTTAACTGTTCCTACGTCATACTTGTCCTTGGCAAAAACTGATTTATATCGTTGTATTAGCTTATTAATCTCTTTCCTTTTTGTTTCATCTAAATGGTTTACTTTTATTTCAAATTCTTTTTCTTTAATATGTTCGTTAAAATTTATTTTATATTCCTTTTCATATTTGTTAACCTCGTTTTCTCTCTTGATTATTCTTTCTTCTTTTTTAATATTTTCTTGTTGAAAATATAGTTTTTGAGTAATTTTTAACTTTTCATTTTGTACTAACTTGTATGTTTTTATCATGTCTAATCCTATTAAAAAATCATATCTGAAATGCGCATCATCGATAATGTAAACATCTACTTTTTCTTCTATTTCGAAAATTTTAATTTTTAGCTTCGTCAAATCACAAGTTTTTTTAACACCATTAATTGTAACTAAATTTTGTTCATTTACATTATTATTCTCGTTTTTTAATTTTAGTAATTTTGAATTAATTAGAGAAACATTCGAACCTGAATCATACACTCCATATATCTCTAATTTAGAATTTATTATGAGTTTGACTTTAATTAATGGTGTTACTATTAGTTTTTTTGTTTTGTTTCATTTAACTCTGCTTCAATCACTGAATTGTTGATATGTTTTATATATCTTCTATCAAATTTATTATTATCTCTCATTTTAAACCAACATGCAGCCTCTGGATGGTAGCGTATACCTTTATTTAACCGTTCACATATTTTGCATGCAGTACGTTCCTCAATTTTGTTATATATCTTCTGGTTTTCGTATCTCGTGTAGGTTCCATTCTTATTTTTATTCATCAAATGTTCATACTTTCTTACTTCATTGAATAAGTCTACTGTATCTTCCATTGATTGTCTATTTATCTTTTCTAGAACAAAGCCTGGCAATCCAGCTGCAATTAGATCCACTAGAGTACCTGTATCTATTGATGTTCTCATGTCCAGTAAAAGTTTTTCTTTTTTTATAGCATAATCCACCAATGAACCATCCTTGTACTTAAATAACAACGCATAAGTCACTTGGTTCCATTCTTTTTCAAAAACATCAATCCACTGGCTTGGGTTAGTATTTTTACTTGTAAATCTTTCAATTATAAACTTTTCTGCAATATATTTCAGGTTCTGTTTTTTTAAATCTTGTGAGCTTTCAATAAATTTTGTAAATAATTTTTCCAATGAATCTGTATTTTTTCCTAAATTACCAGATGCTTGCTTTTGTTCAATTTCTTCGAGATATTGATCTCCAAATTGTAGATTACCATCTTCATCTATGTACACGTTACTTAGTTCATTTGTCATTGTAATCCAAATTTTTCTCGTCTGATGTCTTTTTTTTAAACTATTTTTTATTTTATTGTACGCAGCTGTCTTTATCAACTCTTTATGAAGACTAGCAGACTGTAATTCTTCTGGAATAGCAAACACTTTTTCATCTCTTGTCGTTATGGAGGTTACACAATATACATTTGACTTTCCATCACTCGCTGGCAACACTGCAAATTCAAATCGTAGCTGGTCCATTTTATAATTCATTTAGGTTTCTCAATAAACGGAAATGTCGTTTTATAAGGGTTTCTATTATAATTTAGGATTTAAACAAACAAATGTGTTGCTTCTGAAAACAAAGAAACGACATTTAAAGTTTATTATTTCACAAATTATAATCAGTCACAAAATATATTTAATTAAACTTTACTTTTAGGTTTTCTTTTAACTTATCAACAAAAAACCCCAGACAAAAAATTTGCAGTGTATTATCAATCGCGCAAAGCGCGACAAAATCAAAATTAAAGAAATATAGTTTCTTTACATATATATATATATATATATATATAAATGAATATCATGATATATATATATATATGAATATCATGATATATATAAGTTTCATAATACATACAAGTATCATGATATATTTATAAGTACCATGATACATACGGGTATGGTCAAGCAAATAAAATTTCGGTGATGAAGAAATGTAACTGAAGATGCTTAAATACGCAGAGTTTTTTTCATTCAAAGTTTGATACTCTATTCTCACCAGAAGCTTTCTACTACATTTTAAACAACTTCTTTTCAAACTCATTCATGCTGGTTTTTCGGTTCTTATTTGATCTGTTCATACATTTCATTTACTCACTCACTCACTCATTCATTCACTCGCTCACTCACTCCTTCGTTTATATAATCTTTCTTTCATTGAGAGAGGCGCATGATTTATAAAGATTCAAGAGCAGGAGATAATAATTGTAGATGCAATCTTCTGTTTATTGTGCGGCACGCTGAATTGAAAAGGACGGCAGAGTTATCCATTTAAATATCGCCTTGATGTTTCTCTGTTGCTGGTTTTGTCGTTCCTGTTTTGTTGTTGTTGTTAATGTTGTTGTTGATGTAATGTTGTTAGTGTAACGTTGATGTATGGTTTTAGTGTTTTTTGCAGTTGTAGATTAATGTTTTCATTTATGTTTTTTTTTCTACTGACGAAATTTCAAGTGTTGATGTTGTTTCGGTGGAACGTTTGATTTTGATCTTATTTTCTAGTGTTTGACCTGTTGCGTTAGTTTGTCTCTGAACTTTTATTCAAAGTGATTAAAATGATTGTATCAATTAATTCAGGGGTGGGCAAACTACGGCTTGCGAGGCCTTGTTCGCCAAAAAAAAATAGCCACAAATCTTAAAAAAATTGTCCCCCGGGTCGAAAAAATTTGCTATTCAAGTACACATGCGGCCCTTCAAAGGTAAAATAGTTTTCAATGCGGCCCTCACAGCAAAAAGTTTGCCCACCTCTAATTTAATCCTTTGCTTTCTTGTTAAAATATGTACGTATGTATTATTTTATATCTGTGTTGTAAATTATTGAAATTTGAAATGCGAGTTTAAACTTGAAATTGAACCAGTCAAGGACATTATTTGTGGGAATTGTAATAAAGTAGATGAAGTTTTCTTTAGCTGTAGTTTGTTTTATTTAATGAAAGTATTGAAGTAATTGATGTAGCGCTGCTTCAAGTTAAGAAATACTACACTAAATATAAAGCATAGACTGTAGTAACTGTATTTCAGTTTATTCAGTTTGTTTTGGTAAATAAAAATTAAATAGTTCTGCTTGAAGCAAACTTTTAAAATTATTCAACGTATGTAAATATTGAACAAGTAAAGAACGCGATCATTAACATCATTTTGCATTACAAATGGGGCAATATGATTTTTTACAAAACAACAATAGATCTTTTTAAACCTACGTTTCTTCATTGTGTCATTTTTATATTTCCAAAACTGACTTTTTTTTAAAACCATTTCCCCACAGATGTTTAACTAATGCACCTCACATATGTTTAACATGTGCGTTTTGAAGCTCTGGCAAATCTTTCATTTGATATCTAATAATTTATCTATTTATTTTTTTTTCTTCATAGTGAAATATTTTAAAAAATCTTTTAAAAAATAAATCAGAAAAACATGATATATATATTTTGTTTGCAGGACTTACCAGGGTAGCTATGAGGAACTTTCTCTTTCAAATGAACTACGTCAGTTTGTTTATTTTACAAGAAAACCAAGAACACTTTTTCGATGTTACATTCTTGCCAACATCAGCGTACCATCACATCAACATCATCATCAGCACATCACCATAACCATCACCACATCACATTCATTATCATTCCATCATCACTGCCAATCTTACTCTTAGCCGATCGAAATGAACAGTGGAGAGTTGGGAGTCAAAGAGGAGGACAGATGGATCGATGTCGATGGGGGATTGGTGCAGTCCCTTTGAACACATCGTCCATTCAGGGTTGATGCTCCAAAATTTTGAGCCTGGATTCGATTGAATATGGATAACGAGATTGAATATTTTTTTGAAATTAAATTAAGATTTGATTGAGATTTGAAGGTTTGATTGAGATTTGAAGATTTTATTGAGATTTGAAGATTTTATTGACATTTGATTGTTCCTTGAACCAGGTTTAGAAATTTGATTGAATATTTGATCAAAATATGAATAAGCTTTGATTGAGAGTTGATTAAAAATGATTGATATTTTTAAAAATTGATGAAGATTCGAATTAAATTTAATTTTTTCAAAATAAGATTTGATTAAAATTTAATTACAAATTCTTCAACATTCGGTTAATTAATTTTGAATGAAACTAAAATTTCTTTGATTTTTTTATATTCGCATAATCAATTTATTTAATATATTAAAATTGATTAGAAGTTAATTACAATTTGACTTGAAATAGAATAAAACATTGTTATAACAGCGGGAATAATCGAAACGCGCTATATTATTTGTTATTCTAATTATTGTTATTGTTGTTATATTTGTAATTTTGGGATTGTAAACCATAGAGTGTAAAGAAATATTGTATCTTCTTCTTCTTTCTCGTTTCTTATCCTTTTCTTTCAGGATATTGGCGACCATCGAACTCCACAAAACCCGATCATTAACAATTTGTAGTAGTTGAAATGTGGTGATATTCAACAAGTGACATAAAGGACTTCACGAATGTTATTCGTTGTTGACCGCGATCTCTTTTTCCTGCAATCTTTCCAGTAGTTACTAGCTTTTCCATTCTTTCCTTCCGCATGATGTGATCAAAAAACTGTAACTGCCCCGTTGGATTATATGTAGTAATTTCTTCTTTTCATAACCTGACTGTTTTAATACATCCTCATTCGAAGTATGAGAGGTCCAACTAATTTTCATCATTTTTCTCAAAAACCACATTTCAGCAGCGTTAATCTTTTTTTTCCATTTCTTTAGAAATTGTCCAGGATTCAAAGCTTTAAAAAAGTACAAGAAAAATGTAACACTCTAACAGCTTTTTAACATTGTTGATATTCTGATTTTACTGTTGGTGAGGATGTTTTTCATTTTAAAATAAGCATCTTTCGCCATGGCTATCCTTCGGTTGATACCCACATCACATTTACAACCTGAGGTAATCAGACTTTCGAGATAATTGAAGCTGTTGACTTGTTTCACCTGTTTACCAGTATTGATTATGGAGCAGATCGAGGCGGTTTCACTTTTACTGATAACCGTGCACTATGTTTTGTTGACGTTAATTTGCAAGCCATTCTTTTCACTTTTAAAATCTAGTTCGGAAACATTTTTATGTTGTATCTATGATCGTAAAATTGGCCTATATATACGTACACTTTGCGTAAGTCAAGCTGACAGTCAGGTTTCAAGCAGAGAAGCAAAGTTGTAAATGTGATTTATGTAGTTACTTGGATTAGTTTATTGTTTTTATTACTGTTGGTATTCAAATAAACGTTCAACAAAGTTTGCGTTTGAAGTCTTTGAGTTTATCTGTCGAAAATCTTGAACCTACAGAGTAACGAACCCCTGACGATCGCTGGAAGCTACAACACTGGTGTTGGAAACATAGAGGTCTTTGAAGTCATATCATCGTTGTTGGTAGGGTTAGGTAGTTTCGAGGTCAAGAGTTACAACAATATAATTACAAATTGATCAAAATTTCTATTTAGTCTCTAATAATTTTCAATAATCACTTTTTTCAAACTATTTTTTTACTTAATCTTTACATCACCCTATACAGTTGAAATTGTTATCGTTGTTATTACATATTATTATTATTATTGTGATATTTTAATTTATGTTGTTGATGTTATAATTACTAATAATAATATGATTTTCAGCAACGTTGTTTTTCCTTTGTGTCTTTGTTTTCATTTGCATCATAAATTAATGACTGATCTATCATATGAATAAAATAAAAATCCTACGGTCTTCTCTTAATCTTAAAATAACAAGGTAGAAGTTTTTTTGTATTACCAACACTTTCATCATTATCGCCATCATCACAGGTTATCATCATCATCATCGTTATCATTATCGTCGTAGTTATACTCATCAATTTCTTCATCTTCTATTCTTTCTTTGTTAAAATCAGTGTCATCATCATCATCGTCATCATCTTCGTCATCATCTTCACGCTGCATGGTTACTACTTTCGTCATTTTTGTATTTAATTTCAAATTTATATATAAGTTGCATAATGTTATTTGTTTAATAATAATAATAATAATTATTAGTGTTGTTGTTGTTATTTTAATAATTTATTAATAACTCATTAATTATTTATTTTAAAATAATAATAATAACCAATTTTAAAAGTTTCAAATGAAAAAAAATTCAAATTTCAAATCTTCGTTATTATATATCTTTGGAAAAATGAAATGTATTAATTTTAAGTTAATAAAAATATGCGATTTCAAATGTAATCTTCGTTATTTCGTTATTATATATCTTTGGAGAAATGACGTCATAACTCATGGAACGCTGAGTGACATTTCAATAAAATAATCTCCTGTTGTGAAATTGTTAGGAAAGGAGCAAATTAGTGACTCCGCGGGCTGTGAATTTTTTAGGAATGTGCATTCTCCTCTACTTTCGTCGTTATCGTAATTTTTACTTGAAATATTTCTAGTAATTTTACTGTTAATGTAACTAGGGTAGTACTAGGATAATATAAGTTGAAGGAAAAAGT